TATATATATATATATATATATATATATATATGCAAGCATGGCAGTGAGCTTACCGTTGTCTAGCTTGTTTGGCTAGGTGCTTAGTGCGTGCTTGAGCCTCTTCACCTGCTAGTTGGATACGTTCACGTTCTGCGGCTACCCGTTTATCACGTCTCTTCACGAAGGCCACCAACTGCCGAATCTCTTCATTACGTTTCTTCTTTGCTGCATTGCGTAGCCGGCGATTCTCACAATCCATAGCCCGACGTTCCTGAGAATTAACAGAGAACAGGAGTTGACCGCCGTTCGTTACTTTCATAAACCATGGTTATCCATGTTTAACTCAAGCCGGACAGCCCAAAAAGCAGTGAAAATTGCTTATTAAGAACGACGCACCAAGGTGGTTGAAAATAGTGGGACAGGCAGTAATTCTGTACCACCGATCCATCGCTACACTCCCTAAAAACGGAGTGAAGGTGTCACCTCGATTGGTGATGAAACGCTTGCAATCTAATTTTCCAGCTCGGCAGACAAACCAACGGCCAATTTGTACCATGTTAGAACATGTCATTGAATCGCTCTGCTAGACAGACAGACTACGTGCTTCCATAGCAACCACAAGATGTGGACAGGATGAACTCACTGTGCTCTAAATCACTGACTACTTGAAACAACCTACCCGCATGATCATCAAACATTCAAGACAGGATAAAACTGCTCACCGCTCTTGATTCCGCACACCGAACATCGTATTTCTCTACCCAAGTGTAGTTCTTCTTCGTTTGGAAGACTTCCCAAAATTGATAGAACGGAGCGACCACCTCGGAGTAAGCACTCTCCATAGAACCGAAAGTTGGGTAGGATCGCAAATTGCCTTTCCCGTTACGCGCCCCCAAGTCAGCATCCTCTTCAGATGGAGAAGAGTCGTACTCGTTCGCAAACTCAGCAGCTTTGACTTCCTCATCTGTGATATCCTGAAAAACTTTCCGATACACTGTGTAGAATCCCTGCGAATAAGAAATTTAGACAGAGCCACTGTGTATGGATGTACACGCAACCATGTCAAACCGAATATGAATGGTGAGTGGAAAGGGGCCATTAGTATTAAGGAATGAATCATCATCATCAGCTGCAAAACCCGAGTACTTGCCGTACAGCGGTTCTAGCTAGTTTTGCTTACTATGACTTGGGGAGATGAGGAAGATAGCTGCGCGTTGGAGGCGTTGGCCTCATTAAAACATCCACAACGACCGACCATTAATGAGTGATAAGCAACCGAACAGATATCCAACCACTTCCAAGAGATAAACCTAAAGGTTACCACATGACTGGGGAACTCAGCGATTCCAGAAAGTGTTGCATCGAAAGTTCGGACAGTAATTGGTGCATCTTAAATACACAGACTATTCCAACAACTTCATGGAAGACGTCAACAAAGACTGAAACAAAGTTAAACAAAGTCAAACAAAGTTAACCTACAGTTAGAAGTCAACCTAGTCGCTCTTTCCAGGGTCAAACAACCACCAGTGAGCTAAAAGATTTGGTGAGGAGAATAACATAGTTCACTGGTGGTACTGCACAACTTTCGACAAACACCTGCGTATGAAGTTGCAACGACACACACACAAATGCACACACATGACCGCAAGGTCAAGGTATTATTCAGCTTAGCCAAACATGCGTACCACAAATGGTGAACTCATATAATGGTCGTCATCTGAGTCAGCACGTTCCAGCGAGGCTATATTAGCTAGTAGGGCTCCAACAGTCATAGAAAAATAAGGTAACTGCACGGAGAACATGCAATTCGATGTAGAAGAGAAAACGATTAATTCGTGATTTCGAGCCTTCTGACATAGTCAAATAAATACGAACCCTTTTGCATTGTCCAGCAATGTAATGACGGCCAATTATTGCGACCGCCTCCCACAAATCAACCACTCTTGTGGGTTTCCTCTATGCAACGCAGAAAAAATTTAACACCTGAATCACTGTCGCCCCAGATGATTAGGAAAACGTTACGAGAATTTATAGCCAAGTGTGCTGAACAAAAGGGTCAGTAGGTGAACTGATATTTTCACAAAAAATGCGTACAGTTGGATCCAAGCTTCCAGTTATGAAATGGCAGCGTGATAGAAACAGGATTGAGAAACCAGCGGTAATGAAACTGTCCTCCTGCATTCCCACAAAATAAAAATCCGCAAAAAAAGCTGCTGGAAGAAGCAGCACGAGCCGTTGTTTGAAAATAAATCTTGAGATAAATATATTAGATGATTCCCAGTCAAAAACTGCCAAATGGGACGTACCGTCTCACCATCATCAAAGCCTTGGAAACAGGAACGCGTAAAGTACTGAAAGACGTCAACGCGTTCCTCTTCATAACCAGCAGCAGAACCCATTTGGGCTTTTTGTCCACCACTTTGTAGGATCTGGGCCCGATGGCTATCGTACCAAGCACGTTCTTGTGGGTCCGAAAGTACCCTTAAAATTAGTTGCAGAGATATGCATAATTTCATCAGCTGAAGGCATGTAATTAACAAAGAAAACGCTAAATAGGTTGAAGTTGCTGGGAATATACCATGCCGGCGGGGTATAAAGAAGGACGTTTCACATGATAACACCACGATTCTCGTTTTGGGTTTCATTTGCAGTGCCATCTGTCCCACCACTGAGGCTTCAAAGAGGCATAAGCATGCATAAAGCGTAGATACCAATATGTGCAAGTCGTTAGTGGACTGGAAGGGTGATGGTAGCTAAACAAAACTTGCAAGCGATAGGATTTTGTGGAACCTATAACACCAACGTGAAGATCAAACCACTAACGCTTCAATCAACGATGACAAAACAAGGTTCAAGAAAGCGCAAGTGATCGAAAACACAACTGTACAATTTGCACGAACGTGTGCTGATAAATCTGAGTTGCTAAGGTTGACGTATTGGACAACGTGGATGTAACCAGATGGACCGCATCAGAGTGCAGCACACCGTGAGGGTTCGACAGTCACCCAAATGAGCAGTCTCCCCAAAACGCAATTTCAGGGAAGCTAAAAACGCTACTCAATAACACCCCCAGGAGAGAATCACTTCCCAGGACGGAATAACATCTTACAACGAGCACTTACTTTCCCGTCCAATGCGCAACAGAGTGCTTTTCAGGACCTGCCACACACGATTTACAGAACTCCAAACCCACAGCCTCCACGAGAATCCCAAAAGATGGGAAATTATCTGACTACTAAAAATATCGCCTCAACAATCTGAACTACACAAGCGTATATAGGTTGTATAGACAAGTCAGCTCCAAATGGTTGATACTACGTGGAACACCTTATGAATCTGAGTAATCTTTAAAAAGGTTAGTAGGTAGTAGAATACCGTGAATTCGTATGAAACATTATGACTATTTTGGCATACGATGTCGCAAAGGCATAATAAGTTATCTATCGACTTGTTCGACGAAAAGTTCACGCTTTTAGGCAGTAGAAATCATAGATATGAAGAATCCTCTCTCGCTAGAAAATTTGTGAATCAAATCTAATGCAGCAACAAATAAGTAAACAAGTGAATGTATGAAGAAGTACGCTTCAATCCCTTCGTGTCAAAATCGACGAAAATTACACTGGGATGTGTTCCACACCTCTATTTGTTACCGCCATCCTTTCGAGAGAGCGAACCCTGTTAACTTATTTATCAACCTCGGACAGCTCAAATGAAACACGGAAATGACGGTTGGCAAATATCAACCTAATGCGTTATTTTGTAGGTTGAGTTATGTGGAAGTCTCCATCTACCTATGGAGATCTCATAATGCTTTTCAATGGTTTGACTCGTGACTCGTGTTTGGATGGCTTTCAACCATACCGCTAACTTACACCCACAGACATCGAAAGTATGAAAGACGTTCAACAGCAAACTGCAACTTAACTGAGATTAACGAGAGCAGCCACACCCCTCAACCTGGTTCAAATTCGTGTTAAGTACTCATTTCAATCCCTATTCATCCACGCTGACCGGCAAGGGCAGTAATTTCGCGCTTTAACCACTGTGATCCGATTACTCGGCAAACTCAAAAAAGGAAATCCAACCCACTTAAGTCCATTTTGGCTTGCAACCATCAGGGTCACAGTAGTGACTCCACTGGAAGCCCTACTAGTTAGCATATGCAGATAAGCGTTGAATTGGCCGTACAGCGTTATTGTTTACTGTACCATCAGTAAAAGAAGCACTGCGTACCGCTAACTAAAGTGTGCTTTCGCCTAATACAAATAGAACAGAAGAGCACAAACCTGTATGCTTCCTGAATCTGTTGAAATATATTGGTTGTATCTTCAGAGTGAGACACATTCTTGTCCGGATGCCACTGTAAAGACATTTTGTAGTAGGCTTTCCTCAGCTCAGCGCTTTCCACATTCTTTGGCACACCTTTATCAACTATTGGCAAAATGAAGCGTGTGAACATACCTAGGAGGTCGTAGTAACAACGCATTTTCTTGAGCTATTCGAAACATAAAATAACGTCCGGAGACCGTATCAAAACGAGGCTGAAATGTGTTGCACAGGTAGGTGGTTAGCGTCTGGTTGAAAAGGACAAGAGCATGCAGCAAATAGGAAACGTGCTCAAATGATAATGAGTTTGAAAGTTGCCCTCTCAGTAAGGGCCCCGAAAAAGTAACAATGATCGTTCAGCTGTAACACCCTTTCCGCGTCTAGCTGCAACACCATGGGGAATCAGACACCGCCAGAATGCTCAAGCAAAGATGAGAGCAGTCGAGGTGTTAAAGTTGGCCTCGAACCACGGAATTCTCAGTCAGTAAGTTGGACTTTGACCACCGATGGAAGGAAGTTACGAAGTGATATCCAAGCCTTGAGTGCAAGGCTCAGAGTTCTCAAGAGCGTTGGAGACAACAGGCTACCGATAACGCCTCCCTTCTTTCTCTATCACGTACTTTTTGTTCTCCCTCTCCCCACCCCATTAGTATCTCTCTCATTGTGGGCCAAACACTTAGATTTGATTGCACCGTTCGTCCTGCATTGATTTTTTCAAGCAATATCTGTGCGTCATCCTGCTCCGACATCCTCAGAAATCAATCCCCCAGCCTCGACGCCCAGTCTGCCTGGCCGTCCCCAATGTTCACACTCTGAAGCAAGCAGGTCAACAATCTGCTCCTTTTCTCACACTGGGCTCGCTTGGCATTGATGCGTGTGCTGTTTCGGAAACAAGAATTCCATCATCATCTCAATATTCAAGACGACAACATTGGAGAAGGTAAACTTAGAAGAGAGCCTATCGTGTGTCCGAAGCAGCTGGCTTGCAGTGTTTCCATAAGGGATAAAAGTACATATGGTCGTAGCCTCTCGCGAGCGAATGAAGAACTTTAAGTGTCTGAATGTCTGTTGAACATCCGACAAAGTGGTACTGTTCAAGCGCCTGTCTCACAGTGAAGGCATGACCAATGCAACTCCACTTGATTCCCACGAATTCCTCCCTACGTAATCGATCGATATGCGCAAGATAATACCAGAAACTATTTTGTGTGCTACGACCGCCCGACAGACGGTACGGAGGCTTTCACATAAGTATCTTGCACCACGATTAAGATTGAAATCATCTTCATTCGCACCATTCCGCTCCCGGATCTGTCAGGCTGCCAGTTACCAGGCGATTTTTCTGCACCTTACGCGGCCCTGAAAAATGAAGTGACAGGCGACTCCGGACGATCACTTGGTCGAAATCCACAGGTGTGTTTCAAAACAAGCGGTGGTCGGTTATTGATCCGCGCCATCGGGAACTGATGGTAATAAGATCGATTTCAGTTCGTGACCGACCAGACGACTTCAGCTATTTCGGGAGTTAAAACTGTTTAAAATCAACCTGCGGTCAGCACACGGCTGGAACAATGTGTTGTATATTTGCTCTGTTTTTCAAACATTTCATCACTTATTGCTAAATCACTTTCTTCTATTTTAGCTCTGTGTCAAAGTTTTGGATGAATAAAGGCAAGTTTCCGGGCCCTCAGTCTTTTCCATTTTTATTCTGATTGTCGCTGCACTCCAACCCTGGTCGAACACAACAAAATTGTTCACTATTGTCCGTACATACTGAGTCCGGTCTACCTAATTGTCTCAGATGCGCTAAGCCCGCCCACTTGTGCATTAGATCTCCGGCAACCACAACGGTATCTGAGCTTTTAGCTTGCTGCAACAGGGCATTAAGGGCGTTATAATACTTGTCTCTTATGGTGTCAGAGCTACCGTCAGTCGGGGCGTAAGCAGACACGACAAACAGACATAGACCAACTCTCCCGTGTGAAACTCCTTTACAGACGTTGCCAGACGAATACGAAGAGAAGACTATCAACGGGGATCCTTCCTCGCTGACTTAGGACGATAAGATAAGCTTTAGCGCCCTTTCGGTGCCTAACTACCATGCAAATAAAAGGAAGCACGAGGGCTGGGATACTGCCTAGACAGGGGAAGTCAAGAGGCAGGAGTCGGGTTCGAACCACGGATTTTCCGCTCTAACCACTGAGCGAACTCGCACCCTTAGCTATCTCATCGACAACAGCATATCCCACTGCTGCCAGAGTAGCCATTGCGGGAATCAACGACTTTGACGACGCACGCTGCCCTCCATACACCGGAAAATCAATAGCCTGAAAAACGACAGAGAACCCTGGTGGATTGCAAAAGTGCAGCATGTAGAAAAAGCTTTGGACGTAAGAAACAGCTGCACTCCAATTCAGCTGATTCGGCTAATCTGCACAAACGATATGCGAAACAGATGGAACGGCAAAGTTATCGTCCGGAGTAATGGGCCGAAAATTCCAAAGAACAGTTCACCCGGCCATCCTATCCACAAAAACTAGAAAAACGCAGCAAGCCGGAATGGAAAATCGACACTAGCCCGCTGTCAACAACAGAAATCAATCGAGGGATATCACTGCTTCAACACGACAGGGTAACTAGCCCGAATGATCAACACCCCGCTATCTTCAAAGATGATGGTGAACGAAAAAATACTAGTAGAATGGAGGCCATTCCACTCTCAGAAAACAGCGCAAGAACTTCATGCGAAAACACCCGTGGCACAAACATCGCAGTCGTGCGATCTAAGGTGCTCTGTGGTATTATTTTGCGCAGATTGGTCGATTAACTGGACAAACTTGTGAGAATCAAGTCAGGTTTCGCCCAGGCCGAAGAAGCATCAACCACATGTTCACCTTGAGACAGATTCTTGAGAGGCATCACTGTTTCTGATGCCCCATATTGGTCTGGATCTGAAAGCCGCTTTTGACTCTGTCGATCGCCAGAAACTTTGATGTTGACTGGAGATTAAGGGTAAACCCTTGTGTGGGAACTCCTGTGAACGGGTACCAATATCCGGCAAGCTTTCGCTTAAGTTCAACACGTCCAGCGGTGTAAGACATCTGCCATCTCCCGACCTTCCTCTCCAGTTTCTTTGATATAAAAGGAAAGCGTTCAGCTGTAGCACCCTTCCGGTGCCTAGCTGCCGTGCCACCTGAAGGAAGCTTGAAATTCCCCTGAATCCTTTTTGAACCTCTGGGATTAGAATGCTCTCGTGGCATTCGATCACAGACACTGAGTCTGTGAACGACATTGCTTTCCTGGATTGAGGTCTTTAAAAATGCAAACCATTTTAAGTAACCTAAATAACTCTGCTGCATGGCTTGGCATGTGCTTTTTAGCTGCGAAGGGAGTAGGTGGGATCAAACCCAAACTTGAAGATGAGCCAATCGACTTGGAGGTAAGTTCGTTAAGTTCGATAAGTTCAGGTGGACATGAGATAAACTCCAGAATCTGGAAGACCAGGGCAGGTTTTACTTATCTCCGGTGCCTATGACGTTGATATGAAGTCAGTTTGCCTCTCAAGGGCAGAGTACCGACCTAAAGCTGTCACCTTGACGTGATGGTCGGGCTTGAGTGCTGCAATGATCCCGCGGGCTACATTGGCTGGAACGCCGTTGCACAAGGTGCAACCATGCCAAAGGGGAGCAATCAGACCAAGAGCAGTGAGACCCCGTATTACGAGACGGTCTGGGTGTAAAGTTGTACTGTCCTCTGCGACAGGAATGTGAATGCAGTAAAGTGTATCCCCCAGGTGACCAGCGTGTCCATATTTATGGAAGCAGCGACGCTGTCTTCCCCCAAGGAAGGACGGGTTAGAAAAGTTGACCCCAAAAACCGCACACTCCGATCGCCCAACGGTTAACCGTGACCGCCGGCACAATATCCAATACGGTCGAAATAGTTTTAAAACCAAAGAGCCCGGTGTTGCTCAGAAGGCACCTGCTGTGCGCAGTCGCATCGAGAATCAGAGAGCAATGACATCGATTAGCAGATATATCCTGCAGCGTCACCAACCAGGCGCAGTGGGGATCACTCAGTTAACATCCTGATAGGCGAGTAGCACCGATGGAACTCAAACGTTTCATGATCTCCTTTACACCCCCATCAGGTCGAGGGTTGGCACGGAAAACAGCACGCTCTTCGGCAAACTGTGGTTCGGCATGCGCAATGCATGCCTAACCAGCGCGGCTTATGTTGCTGGACACGTTCTTCAGTGGAGGTACCCGTAGTGCAATCTGAAACGCTTTCTAATTTCAATCAACTAATTTGTAAAGCGTGTGCTATAGGCACATTGGTTCCAGTTGCTACACTTTCGACTGTCGGAAAGCGAGATAGTGTAACATACAACCAAGCCTTGGAGGCGAAGACATGTTCAGTTTGTTCGGAAATTGCGTAGCTACGCACTGAAGGCAATAGCTTTGATGCACGAGCGCCAATGACTGCGCGACTGGGCTGTTTCCGCCAATGTCATTAACCAGTAGTGATTTGAGTCGCGGGGTCCCCATCCATGGAGGCGACAGATGCCCACCCGACTAAGTTTGATGGTTAGTGTTTTCGTACTTCGTTGCCAGGTGCACCTCTCGGTTGATTGCACCAGCAGAGCTAAGAGAAAACAGCTCTGTGAGGCAGATGGTCTTGTGGTATGCGGAGTACATGTCCCAACCAGCGCAACTTATGAAGTGTGAGTAATTCATCTATCGCGGGAGAGGTCCCTCTTCCTAAGGCCTTTCTAATTTTTTCGTTTCTGAATCGCCAACAATCCACACAAGCTTGGTTCTTGGGCAACGGTTGTCAAACACCATCAGCTCAGACAGGGACAGTTGCAACGGCCGCCTGTATAGTTTCGGAAGCCATAACGAGTGTGCCTCCCTAGCAGCTGTTGACAAGCCAGGCTAAAAAAACCTAAAAGGGCAAACAGTACCTATAGCTGGTGAAACGTTGCTATTGACATGGCGCATATTAATGTGAATTGAACGAGGGAAAACGGATGTGGAAGTTCGCACAAAGATAGAAAAAATAAACGCTGTGATATTCGGCCACCACCATTACGCGGTATTCCAGCTTACTGATTCAAAGTCAGTGTTTCGTGACGCGTCATAAGCGGACGGACTAGGAGTG